CTTGATGTAATTCATTTATTCATATCTTGGCATTACCACTGCTAAAGTTCCAAAAACATACCCGAGTCATCACATCTGCATTTGTGTTCCAATTGTTGAAATCTCCAATCAGTGATGCTGACTGAAAAAGCCAACGAAAAAAAAGGCAACCATGAGACCAAACTTAATAAGGTACCTAAACTAGTCAAATAAAACCTTCCATCAAATAACAAGATACTGAGTACAGCAAAATAAGCGGGAAAGGATCTTAGTAGGCACACTGTGTCTAGAATTGTTGATCTTAATAAGTCACCCTTATACAGAGAATAACTAACGGTTAAAAGTAAAATTCTTAAAACACCAAAGAAGGCAAACGAACCTTTGCCCCAGGAGCCCACTCCCTATAAGTGATACCTTCCGCACTGAAAAACCAGTAGAGATAATAATCAGCATTAAAGATTGCCAATAATAATATAGGGATTTTAAACCAAAAAATACAGAAATTATTATGAAAATTTGAAAGGAACCCTAAAAGCAAAAACAACGAAAGCTATTACCCACAGAATAAATACAAAGACGTAAACAAGGACAATAATTAGCAAACAAGGTAGCAAAGGGCATGGCCAGAGAAACGTAGACGAGAGCATATTTTGACTATATTAGAAGAATTATACCGAGTGAAATCGCCAATGGTAACACAATATTTAGTATAACACCAGTAGCTGCAGTTCGAAACAGTCAAATTGCAAAACTTTTCTCTCGTCTCGTCTACCTGACCTTATACACCTCCCTATTAGCATATTTACCCATTAATTTCTGTTCAAGAGTAAAAAAAAAGCAACTAAAATACGTATTCAATGTTGTAAACTAGTAAAAAAAACATGGAAAATGATTCGACTCCAGCAGATAAAAGCAAAAAGTAATACCTGCGTGTGAAACCAAACTTCTCATAGCCACGAGAAAACACCTCTAAACTGCCTTCGTACTTGTCAATCTCCTCACGCAGCCTTTTGTATTGTCCATAACTGACCATAGCACAACGAAATCACTTAAAGCCTTATTAACCTAATTTGGATATAAGCAAGCATGAAGGATTTGTAACTGGAAAAAGGAAAAAGAAACATAATTCAATGCACTAAAGGAGCAAAAAGAATCTCGCACTTGCAACACTAACCAGCTAGCAGCCATGAACCCTTTTACTCAAATGGGGTAGCGACGTTAATCAATTTATTTGATCTTTTTTCAATTTTAGGCAATCATCCATATTCCATACAAGTTGTATATGTATTATTATTATAAATAAAATATGGAAGTGCATCATACCGGTAATCAAGATGATCACGGTGACGCACCAAAAGTGGATCTATTTCATATATCTTTTGCCCATTGCCAGGCGATGGAATTGTCTTTCCCTTAGCTTTGCTTGTAGCAGTACTTGCTGTAACTTCTAAGGGATGAGGTACGTCCTCAACCTTCGCTTCAGCATCATCAACATTGTCCACAACTAATGAAGGGGCATCCACAAGCTTCTCTTCATCTTCCATTGCTACATTATCTACATCCTCAATCACCTAAACAAAAATTATACATACACAGTATGACAATATGTTATGCGGGATCCTCCAAGATGTCACACAGAAATTGACTATGCTACAGCGTTCTGCACACCCTCTAAAACCCTTAAGTTGAAAGCATAAAACATAAGTGGTATGCACATAGATGGGTATCATAAACCTGAGGATCCTCTGAAACTGTACTCGTAGCTCCCAATTGCTCCGTCAAAGACAAAGAGCCATCACTCTGGCTGTCCGGAACAAGAATTTTCTTCGATGCAGCAACTGCTAAAGACGGCAAATCAGAATCATACGAAGACTTTCCAGCAAAGATCTTCCCTACAAACAAGTATCAATTAGCTTAACACCCACAAAACATCGAATAACAAGTACGCAATCATGATAAAACAATGACATTTTTTTCAAAAATTTCAATTCTTTTCAACAAAAATTAAATTCAAAACTAGCAGCCATAGCAAGCAAGCACAACATTACTGTTCCAAGCTTCCAAAAAAGCTCACGGCATATCTACGTAAGCTCCATTTCCAGGACACTGACCACTAACAACCAATCTTATCTACGCATAACTTCAAATTTACTAAAATAAAAAAAAATCATAATAATTAATTACGGAAAAATTAACAGAAAATCGAAGCAGCCGATTGAAACACAGAAATAGAACTCGAATATCCATTTTTCGAAACCAAAGCGAAAAACGAACAAAAGAAGAGAGAGAGAGAGAGAGAGATAGGGAGAGGGAATACGAGAGAAGGAGGTGTTGGAGAGGAAGAGAGAGAGGCCGCCGGAGGTCCTCCGATCGCCATTAAAACTGGCATGCGAGGTGTAGGCAGAAGGCAGAAGAGGGAAGCGAATCCCCGAGAGAGTCGAGACCATTTCTCCTTCCTCCTTTCGTTATCAGATCGATGGAAGCGCGCGAGAAGGATCGATCGATCGATCTCCAAGGACGTTTCGTTTTGCGGAGTACCGAAGCTCGTCTCCCGGGAGAAACGTGAGTTGAGTGAAGCAACACAGATATCGGAGTGCGAGAGTGACTGGAGTTTTTTGTGTGGGTTCATTATCTTGGCGCTCCATGCCACGTGTGCCGTTGCGAGTTACATGGGGATGGGTGGGTGGACCCAGCCTGCTTCTCCTCCCGTAATTTAGATCGTCCATCGTTGTTGCAACTTTTTTGAAATTTTTGACATTTTTTGGGAATTAAAAATTAAAATAATAAAATAATTAGGGGATGTGCGTTGGACTGTTGGAGGAGGATGAGAAACGAAAGGTTGTCGGGGGTGAAGGGGATATACTTTAGTGATTCATTATATCCAAATCCAATCAAATAAATCACCTTTCTATGGTCATAGAACCCAAATAAAAGGTTCCTTTTGTGATGCCACTTTTAGATGAATAATTTTGTTATGTTCACCTAGGTTACATTTTTATCGGTATCTAATAATTCAATTCTTAGTTAAATTGTCGTCGTAAAATGCTGTAATTATCGTAATATAGTCATAATCTTTTGGCTCATGCACACAGTAAGTTGAATGCAGTTATCACTATCGATTTAGGATTAAAGTCGAAAGCCATATAAGATGTCGGATTGTGATGGGATTGGGTTTAGCCTGAACGATGGTGGAGTTACCATTATCCTTTGGGGTGTGCTATCCACAACCCTTGTTAATTTATGTCATTTGATCTTCTTCAATTCATCCGATTCGACGGTCGAAAATTAAAAATGTGTGAGAAAAGTAAAATGGGGTGTGATATCCTTTTTGTAGTGATGAATCTTGTATGTGTTCCTACTATGGGTTTAGAGGGTATATGGCTCTCGGATGTCTAGAGGATGTGCAACAGCAACATTAATTAGACCTTGTATTTTGTTTATGTCTAATAATTTCCATGAATTGTCTTGGAATTTGATTTTGATTTCTCTTCTTAAGGCAAGTTTGCTAGTTTGATTGCTCTCTGGGCGAGAGTTGCTTTATTTTAATTTTTGTTTTGGTGTGTTACCTCTTTTGGATCTATGGATGAAAGATGGAGCTGTTAAACTTTCTGGATCTACATTACTTAGTGTTCCAAAACCGTGGCAATGACTAAATGATGCGAGTGATCTATGGACATTAAACGTCCTGTCCAATATATTATTTGAAATTTTGTCCTCACATGCTTAATGCGACGAAATCACCAATCTATTTTGCTCTCAGTACATCACATGGCATGCTTTACCAAATAACTCCTGTTTTTTTCCATCGGTGGGTCTGGTAATAAAGAACGCAAAGTACAGCACATACATGATCTCATTCCGTCCGGCCCCTTTATAGCCTTTATGTGACTCTTTGTCTCCTCCTTCTCCCCTCTCTCCCTCTCTAACAAAAGTCACTTTCTTGGCCTTTGTTTTCAACGAGGAAGATTCTCTCCCCTCCTAATTTATTTCTCCTTCATTCCCCTCCTACTTAAATGGTTAAATCATATCAATATCTTATATTCATTTTTTTTTATAGAGACAATAAGACAAAAAACAAAATGTGAGAAGAAATGAGAGAATTCTACTCCCGTTTTCAGTTAAACTACAAAATTGGACTGCAACTCCGCTCAGTTGTGTCGTGGTGGCTTCTCATAAATATTACGGAATGTTCACATGTTCATGTTATGAAAGGAACGATCCTCACATGTACATAGCCTTTTGACTGAATCACGTTCACCCGTTAATTCCCTGAATTCTTGAGCGGACTTCCAACCGCTCTATAATTTGTAATATACAAGACAATAGCTTGATGCAACAACCAAAATTTTCAGGAATTTCAGTGCTATTTAAGCAACAAATTTATAGTTTACAAGCTTGACATGTGTAGAAAAGACAGAATAAACAACGTACATTCAGTAACCCACAAAAGATGAAGTCTTTATCGAGAACTAACGAACATAAGAAACACAAAAATCATCGGACAATAAACAACGTACATTCAGTAGAAAGGATTGCTGATATTAAGAGGTGGAAGGCCATTACCTTTGGTATATCCCATACATTTTCCCTCCCACTCAGAGCCTCTATCTTAGGCACCCGAGTGTCTCTGGCTTTCCAAAACGCCAACTGCTGCTTGACATCTTTATCTTTATCTTCATCGACCACATTACCCATAAAATTACGTCCTAAAATCAATAAATGTGATTCGTGTAATGTTATTTGTTAGTCATAGAGTCATAGACTTTGCCAGTTATGCAAGTGAGTCATAGCATGAAAAAAAAATACACGTAAAATCTAATCGTTTACTAAAAGTGAAACTTGTCTACGTAACGTTAATATCACGCCACTCACAATAATCATGACATTCCAACTCGTTCAGAAATAGCATTTTTGGACCCTTATTAAACACTCCTCTAACACTAGAAACTAGAAAACTAACACAAATTACAAAAACTAATACTCTCCCCAAGACTTTCTAATATGATTTGCAGTAGTATTGAAAGTTGGTTCCTTCTCTATCTCCTTTGGAAGTTGAGGAACTTGATGCCATAGGTAAACACAACGAAGAAAAGAAGAACCCAGCCGACGTGTGCGGCGGTGACGGCCAGATGGAAGTCATACTCAAAACCAAAGTCATCTTTCAGGAACTTCTTCAATGGCATGGTGCCATATCCAGGGAGGATAAGGTTAGCATTCTTGTCACCCACTTGGGATGTCACAAGGCCATAAAGTGTCCAGGCCATAGGGGAAGCCCAGTAGTACCACCTCCACCAGATTGGTATTTGTTGCAAACACAATAGAAATTCAAGGTTAATTTTTGAACTATGTACTTTCATGTAGTGAGGTTAAATGAAAGCAATGTGCATCTACCGCATATTTAGGGTTAGTTTGGGATTGTTTTCTAAGAAGCATTTCTACTTGCATACAGTTTTGTTAGAAGTGCTTCTCCAGAAAACGCTTCTATGAGCTAGAAGCTAAGGTTTTCTACCAAATGCAGTTAGAACAATGTTTGATAGTTAGAAACCGCTTTTATCTCTTCTAGAAACAATCCCAAATAGGCCCTCAATTTTGATATGACGTACCGGTCTTGGAATGAGGAAGCCGGAAAACAAGTTCCAGAAACCGAGGAAGAAGGACATGACAATGACAGCAATCTGGGGGCCCGGAGTCAGTGCAACCACCATCATATCGTACATCGTGAAGTAGATGAAGCACATTAGGATACAGTAGCAGAACCAAATGAATGTTTCGACTTTCCACTTGAATCCAATCATGGAGAAGAGAAGAAGTGTATATATAAATGTTTGGATTGCAACATAGACTGTCTCTATAGCCACCTGCAAAAAAAAGGGGGATAACTTGTCAATCACGTAATAAGATGTGTACCAAAAGGTCTCTAACAATTTGTCAATTTTATACATCACCTGAGCAAATGCATAAGGCAGTTCAGAATACATTCCGGCAGCTCTTTCACGGTAGAAAACTGTTCTTTCAATGGCGACAACAAATCGGACCACAGAAGCATTCGTGGTTCCAAGGAAAAGCACAACAGCATACATAGCTCCTAAAAGGTTCATCAGATCTTGCTGTTGTGCTCTGTTACAAGAAAAATTTCGTTCCTAATAAATAGAGACGCCAATAACATGATTTAGTCAAATTTGCAGTTAAAAAACCAGAGCTTACGTCTGCTGTGCCTTTTGCCAGAAGATAAGACCCAATAAGACACCGATGACAATGGTAGTAAAGAATCGGATGGCATTGTACTGAGGATTTCTCCAATAAGACCAATGCATTTTCCAGAAACAAGCTTTGCACTGAACCGGGAAAGGTTGAGAGTATTTGGTTGGGAAGTAGAGATCTTTGGACCCGGGAGCCGGTGTACTAAGCTCTTTGATAAGCTCTTGGTTCCTCCTAAAAGAACATCAAGAGGAAGAGTGAGAATCATAAAACTAGAAATCATAGTTTACACGAAAAAGATATTACGACACTTACTGGTAAAGCGAGGAGTTTTGGTAAATGTCTGCAAAGTCAACATCAAGTTGAGTCTCAACTGCGGGAGCAGTGACCTCAAGCATCCATGTAGCAGGATTGTAACCATCCTTGATCTTGGGCACACCCGGGATGGCCTGTAGAGGTTAAAGATATGAGTCCAGACTGCATTAAAATCACAGGAAATGACTTCCACACATGCATTTTCTTCTTCTGCACAACTCATTTATTTTGTCACTTGATTCTCTTTTGATTTATTCAATGTAAGACGAGAAATAAACAGGGCTTGTGCGGAAATCACTTCTCTAAAATTACTAGTGAAGGACGTACAAGAAATAAGAAGTGAAAGGAAAACTCACTTCAGAATATTCTACAAGCTTGTGAGAATGGCGGTCGAGGGGTCCAGCATAAATGATTTGTTGAGAATCAATGTCATTTGGTGAAGTAAGTGTGTGAGGTCGGTGAAGTAAGTGGAGGTTGTAGGTGAAGTAGGTGGATGTTGTAGGTGAAGTAAGTGTGTGAGGTTGGTGAAGTAAGTGGAGGTTGTAGGTGAAGTAAGTGTGTGGTGTAGCTTTCATTTGGTTTGCTATAAATACTCAAGTCTCCAAGCATTGTATATCATCCAAGGAAAAACAAAGCCTAGAGCTAAATAAGAAAAGCTTTGCTAATTAGTTTGTTTTGTGAGTTTTCTTTAAGAGTGTGCTCTATTTTCTTCTTCTTGGGATCATTAGAGTTATCTTGGATACTCTTCTTATTCAACAATTGGTATCAGAGCCAAGTCGGTCAGGGATCATTCTTGGTAGAGCATTGGTTGTAAAGTCTCTTGAAATTCCGAGTATGCTCTGTGGTTGCAGTTTTGACTGATCTTCCACATCAGAAAAAATTTCTTGAGATTATTGCTGGGGTTATCACAAACCTTGAGAGGGAGCTTCTTTGTGTCGAGAGTAGTGTATTACTCTGCACGGTAGTCACTCAAGCTTGTTCGGTGTAGTCAAAGTCTTGCCGATACGATGGGTGATCTTCAAGTTGTTGGAGGAATCAAGAAGCTCAACAATCAAAACTATAACACGTGGGCAACGTGTATAGAGTCTTACCTTCAAGGTCAAGACTTGTGGGAGGTTGTCGGTGGTAGTGAAGCTACACAACCGGCAGCGGAAGATGCTAACGGCGTCTTGCGGAAGTGGAAAATTAAAGCAGGCAAATCAATGTTTGCTTTAAAGATCACAATAGAAGAAGAAATGTTGGAGCACATTCGGGATGCTAAAACGCCAAAGGAAGCATGGGACACTTTTGTTACACTCTTTTCGAAGAGGAACGATACAAAATTGCAACTTCTCGAGAATGAGCTGCTATCGATGGTACAACGCGACATGACGTTTGCCCAGTACTTTCACAAGGTGAAGTCAATATGCCGCAAAATTTCAGAATTAGATCCAACAGCTCCTATTGGGGAAACCAGGATGAAGAGAATAATTATCCATGGTTTGAGACCCGAATATCGAGGGTTCATTGCCGCTATACAAGGATGGCTGACACAACCATCGCTTGTTGAGTTTGAAAATTTGCTTGCAAGTCAAGAAGCTATGGCCAAGCAAATGGGAGGAGTCTCATTGAAGAGTGAAGAAGAAGCGCTCTACACCAAAAGTAAAGGCAGCTTTAAGCAGCGTGCTGGTGGTGGATCTAAAAGAAATGGTGACAAGGAAAAAGGTCATCAAGGAGGAGGGAGTTCTCGGCCAGGGGGAGCTCCGAAGTATCACGACAACCGTGGTCAGTCCCAGAATAATAAAAGATTTGAGGGCAAGTGTTACAATTGTGGAAAGAATGGCCACATGGCGAAGGATTGCTGGTTCTAAAGGCCTGCAGAAAGTAACGTCGCCAACTCAGAGAAGAAAATTGAAGATGATTGGGATGTCGTTGCGTCTCTAGCTGTGGAGGAAGAATGGGACGCAGAAGCATCATCTTGTTGGTGCTCAGAAAATGAGGCGTCACCTGACCCAAAAGAGTTTGAAGATACGTTGCAAGGGAAACTGAGAGACCAAGCTGCCCAAATCCAATCAAGTCCAGATGAGCCTGAAGATTTGCTTACTGGAGACGATGTCGACCAAGAAGTACCTAAGAGCCCTTGGCAAACAGGTGTGTACCAACAACCACAAGAAGTTAGACTAGTAGAGTAGAAGTATCAACTCCACAATCACAACTAAGAAGGTCAACAAGAGTACGAAAGCCAAATCCTAAATATGATAATGCTGCCATAACTGATGGAGCACCAAAAGAACCTGAGATGTTTAAAGAAGCATCACAGAGTTCTGAATGGATAAGAGCTATGAAAGAAGAAATCACTGCACTTCAGCAAAATCAGACTTGGGATCTCGTGCCAAAGTCAAGGGATGTGAAACCCATATCCTGCAAATGGGTGTACAAGATAAAGCGTCATCCTGATGGTTCAGTTGAAAGGTACAAGGCTCGGTTGGTGGCTCGAGGCTTCTCAAGGTATGTGTGGGTCTTCTTTATGAAAGAAAAATCTGACACATTCTCAAAGTTTAAAGAGTTCAGAGAGTCAGCTGAAGGAGAAGTGAGAAAGAAGATCCGTTGCCTGCGCACAGATAACGGGGGAGAATATAGCTCAAAAGTCTGTCGAAGTATGCTGCATGCAAAGAACGTACCGGGAAGGTTTTGGGCTGAAGCAATGAGGACTGCAGCCTTTGTGATCAACAGACTTCCTCAACCAAGGTTAGGATTTGTTTCTCCCTTTGAGAATCTGTGGAACATGAAACCTACAGTTAGCTATTTTCGAGTATTTGGCTGTGTATGCTATGTATTTGTTCCTGATCATTTACGGAGCAAATTTGACAAGAAAGCTGTTAGATGTATCTTTGTGGGATATGACAGCCAGAGAAAGGGGTGGAAATGTTGTGATCCAACAAGTGGAAGGTGCTACACTTCACGAAATGTGGTGTTTGATGAAGCGTCTTCTTGGTGGTCATCAGAGAAAGAGGTGCTACCAGACTCTAGAGAATTTGGAGAAAAGCTGCAACAGAAGATGGGGGAGCATACTATCCAACCCCCATTCAAAGATAAATTCCATGCCGTGGGTTCCAATTGAGCCTAATAAGGCTTCGTCCGGCTGCAAGACGTAAAAGAAAGCGCTACTTGGGAGGCAACCCAATGCACTGAATAAAACAAAGCTTGTTCATTAATTTTCGAGAAATTACAAATGTATATAACAAAGAAAGAGAAAGGTGGAGCCTTCACAAGGGTTGTGTACGTGAGGCCCCACTACGTGGCAACACTCTCGGAGCAGGAGGCATCGGAGCAGGAGGCATCAGAGCAGAAGGCATCGGAGCAAGAGGCATCGGAGCAGAAGGCATCGGAGCAAGAGGCATCGGAGCAAGAGGCATCGGAGCGGAAGGCATCGGAGCGGGAGGCACCGAAGATAGATCATTCAAGGCCTCAAACCTTGGTGGAACGCTGGATGACCCAGGAAAGAGGTGCCTCTGGAAGAAAGCCGCAAGCCTTTGACGGTCATCAAGCTCATCAAGCTTCCTCTTCATGCCTGTCGAATAATTGTTGGCAAGCACGTGCAAACTTCGATTCTCGTGCTTAAGCTGTTTGATCTCCTGCTTAAGACTGTCCACCTCCGCCATCAATGATTCAACCTGACGGGAGAGAGCAAGAAGGCGTTGGCCCATGTTGGACACAGAGCCAGCGCACTGAACACTGAGAGCCAGAGACTCTTGAACGGCCAACTCATCGGACCGTCCTGAAAGCAGCTGACTATCTTTGGGAGTGAGGAGGTTCTGAGCTACTATCGTAGCCGTTGTTGCATCCGTCATCACAGAGTCCTCACCTGTAAGGGGGCCATGAGAAGATAAGAAAGACGGACACCATACCTTATCCTGACGCGGCGCGACCGGATCACTGCTTAGACTCAAATCTAAGCAAATGTTCGATGGGTTGGATGAGCTAGCCATTTTTCAAAGAGTTTAAAGAGAAGGGTTGGATGGAGGAAAATCTCGACGGGCCGAAGATGATGTTTGGGAAGTCTTCAAAGTGTGCATTGATAGAGGTGATCGATCACCTCTATTAAAGGAGAGGCGTTCACCGAATCAGAAGACGCGTGAAAGGCGAGAAATCAGCTGCACACTTTTGCCGACAAGTGTGGGAGACAAAGCCGAAAGCTCCCGGCTTTCCAGAAAGCGAGTGCAACTTTGTCAAAAGCTCCCGGCTTTTCAGAAGATGCATGAAGGACATTGCCGCATCCGCACTGCCACTTGCCATTACAATTCCTATATACATCAACCAGTAGATTATCCAGTACCATTGTACTGTGATAACCAATCGGCAATTCGCTTGGCGGAAAATCCAGTCTTTCATGCAAGAACTAAGCATGTGGAGGTACATTACCACTTTATCAAAGAAAAGGTTCTGCAAGAAGAGATTGAGATAAGACAGGTCAAGACGAATGATCAAGTTGCGGACTTGTTCACAAAAAGTTTGAGTACAGGCAAGCTCGAAATTTTTCGCTGTTTACTCAGCACAGTGCAAAGAATGAGAGCTGACATTGAGGGGGAGTGTTGAGAATCAATGTCATTTGGTGAAGTAAGTGTGTGAGGTTGGTGAAGTAAGTGGAGGTTGTAGGTGAAGTAGATGGATGTTGTAGGTGAAGTAAGTGTGTGAGGTTGGTGAAGTAAGTGGAGGTTGTAGGTGAAGTAGGTGGATGTTGTAGGTGAAGTAAGTGTGTGGTGTAGCTTTCATTTGGTTTGCTATAAATACCCAAGTCCCCAAGCATTGTATATCATCCAAGGAAAAACAAAGCCTAGAGCTAAATAAGAAAAGCTTTGCTAATTAGTTTGTTTTGTGAGTTTTCTTTAAGAGTGTGCTCTATTTTCTTCTTCTTGGGATCATTAGAGTTATCTTGGATACTCTTCTTATTCAACATGATTTGCCCTCCACATTTCATTAAGAGTAACTCGTCGAAAGATTCAAAAATATCTATGCTTGGCTAGTGAATTGTGCAGACAACAGTTCTGCCTGTATCCACTGTGTTTCTCACAGTACGCATGGCGATAGCAGCAGCCCTAGCATCGAAACCAGATGTCGGTTCATCCATGAAAATGATAGAGAGGTTAGCAACCAGCCCCACAGCTATGGTTAGTCTCTTCCGTTGTTCTGTTGAAAGACCATCTAGTTCCGGGAGGCCAACGAGAGAATTTCTTATTGGATTAAGGTCTTTCTACCTGCCAGGACGTCCAT